TTCACTGCTTTGCACTTTGGTCTGCGCAAAAATAGTTAAAATGTCTGGTTCTTAAGTTGCGGAATTTCCTACTAAAAATTTCACACAAACGAGACAATAATTTCTTTATCAAAACTTCTACGGGGCTGTACATGGTGTCCAGGAGTGCGTGAAAGCTGAATCCGAATTTGCGAGGTAGTACGTTTGTAGAGGAGATTGCCCTAAAATTTCAGATTCTCAACTTCCGCGGTCCCCGAAATAATCATTTTCTCTACCGAAACTTTAACGGGGCCGTAAGTAATACTCGGACGCGCGGGAAGCTGAGTTTTAAACTGCACGACTGTATTTGGACAGAAAGCATCACCATAAAATTTAGCTTCATAGCTTTTATGGCTCCCGAGATAATAATTTCCCTGCCAAAACTTTCAAGAGGCCGTAGGTAACACCTGAAAGCGCGGGAACGCTGAATTTGAATAGGCTAGGTCGAGCGTGCGCAGGGGGTTATTACACTAAAACTTTACCTTCGTATATTCACTGATTCCCCAGATAATTACCCGCAAAAATTTCCAAAGAACCGTACATGTTACCCACAGGCAGGGCGAAGCTGAATTAAAATTTTCCGGGTAGCATGTGGGCAGAGGACATGCCCACAAAATTTCAGCCTTCTAGCTTCTTTAGTTCCTGTGATAATAACTTTACCTGCCCAAACTTTTACGGAGCTGTACCTGTTACCCGCGGGTACAGGAGGGCTGATTTTTAATTTGTGGGGTCAAACGTGGTGAATGACGTTCTCCTAAATTTTCAGCTTCCTAGCTTTTGTGATTCCCAGGTTGAAAGCTGCGGACAAGTTGCTGCGACACACACGCACACACAAACACACACACACACAGACAACCCCGTGAAAATATGAGTTTTGTACTGCTGTTATACAGCACAGAGCGCATGAATATTAAAAAAATCGCCGACCAACCTCCGAGTATTGTAGACGTGTGAACTCCTCGGTCTCGCTCTCAAGCGATGGCCTTCACTTGTCGCTGCGGTGCCCGTGGCAGCATTAGTTGCATCCTCGGACTGCCGCATACGCTGCCATTTCGCCACAACAGGCGCCATTTTACTTTCGAAAGATGCGGCAACCGTCAGGCTACTTCGGAAAACCTCAAACAAAAAGGTAACAGAAGGTGGCATTAAATGATAAAAATGCCAAGAAAAGGAAGCTCGAATGAAAATGGTGGGTTTTTTCAAGGACATAGTTTCCCGCACAAAAAACGAAAAAACTAAGGTACTTTTCTCGAAGAAAAGATGAAAAAGTATCGAAAATAAAAAATTGTTCCATAAACATACTGGTGAGCGTTTATTGTCGATCGCATTTCTGCATGCTTGCATAAATGTTTTCACCGCGTTAACAACCTCCAATGGGCTACTGTATTTTCGATCTCGCACCTTATTTTTTACAGCTGACAGATTATCGCGAGTGGAAAAAACGTCCTGCAGAGGCTGCAAACAAATGCTTTTTTTGAGCTAAAAGTTACTAAAATCTGGGGGGATTCGTATTATATAGTATAAATAGTAACATTTCGAGACACAGAAGCACTTGTGCCCCTTTGCATATGTCAGTTTTTAGGCGAAGATGGCTAAATACTTAGCCCACTAGTAACGTGAACAAGACTGTAGGGATCATAAGCGAGGAACAAAACTACGTCTTGGACAGAAGACTAATTAGCTCGCCCATCCTTCAGTCTTTCCGAGTCTATACATTATCAGGCATGCCAGAAGTAGACTGGTTTCAAAATAAACTATTGGATTCTTAATATGCTTGAGGAAGAATCCGTTTAACTTAGTTATTGTTATTCAAGGAAAAAGTAGCAATCTCAGATTTACATGGGTCTGTGAGAAGGTTCTCAAAGAGAAGCACTTTAATTATTTAGCCATTTAAAGTAAACATTATGACAAAATGCTAAATGGTTTAACAGAAGTGATATAGAAACAAGAAAAACATATATGTATAAAAACAAACCTCATAGCCAGGAGCAATGAAATAAGAAGAGGACTGCTCGTTCATCACTTCTTCCAGCACTGTAGCACACTCCTCAAACCAGTTCCACGCATGATCCATCGAAGTGTTCCGTGTTAGTGTAGGATTTGTTCCAAGTTTTATTGCTTTTTTGCTCACGTTTGTTGTCAGTATGCATTTTTTGATGTTATTGTACTCTCTGAGTCTGCTGTCCGGACCTGTTTTTAGCTGTCGGAACAATTCCAAAGCATTCGTATAATCACGATCACTAAAAATAAATTTCAACAGAACGCTTCAGCTAATTTGCCCAGATTTTCACTTACTTATTCACGTACTACATAAAGTGACACGTAATTCCAGAATAACGACGACTTCAGTGCAGCAGACATGAATTTATCACTACAAGCCATATTCTTTAAAAAATTACTTCAGGTAGGAAATGAGCGTCTCCACCAGAACTCGTGAATTTCGAACAATTTCACTGTTTGGCTGATTGAAAAGACGAGCGTTAACTGCTATATAACGAATATCTTGCTCCAGCGCTACCTGTTTCCTGAAAATGCAACAGTTAAAACGCTAAAAGGTACAACACATGTAACCATACTCAATAAAAACACCATCCTTGGTTAACCCACTACTGCGTGTTCGCTGGCTTAGTAAAAGAAGTAAAATTGGCCAACGCACGGGCTGCCCGTGCGAAGATGCGTTTTTTGCATGGTTCCCCGTAGTTTT